TTTAGGGTGTAGTAGGGTTTAGGGGTTAGGGGTTATAGGGGTTTGGGTTTCTGGTTTAGGGGTTAGGGTGTAAGGGTTTTAAGACGAGACTGTGAATTGCTCCACACACTGACTTTACAAGAAGACAGCTACTCAAGCTAAGGGTGTAGGGGACTACGGGCTTAGGTTTTTTGTTTACTTTCAGAGCTGCAGGGAAGGCTTACAGCGCGTCTCATCTGAAGGACTGAACACCGACCTTGGACAAGCTGGCGGCCCAACCCTTCGAGCGCATGTCCTGCAGAGACTCGTTTGGGAATTTGGGAGCCTGACTAAGCTTGGGGTATCTGTGTTCTTGGGGCGTTTAAGGATCGAGCTGGGGTTCATATGGGTTGCAGGGACTTGGGTATTCCGCCACTTTCAGTCCGGAATGGCAGCGAGGAATCTCCGAGGAGGAATGCAAAGGCCGGCTGTGGACTGTTGCAGCTTTCATGAACACCATCCATCTTACAGGGAAGCCTGCTACCGCCACTTGCCGACCGGAACTAGACCCGAACAACCCTCAGATCCCTCATCCTGAACCCTTTGAAGCCCATCAAGTCCCCTGAAACACCCGGGTGCCTGGCACCAGGTGTTGTCACCCTCCATCTTCACCGGAACTGCACCCAACATGGCCGCAAAAAGTCCCGTGGCCGAGACCTGGACTGTTTCAGCGTGTTAAAGCTTGTGAAGGTTGGCTGCTGTGCCAAAGATTGCGAAGCAGTGCCTGCCTGCCTGCCTGCCTGCCTGTATGTATGTATGCAGGTAAGTATGCACATATGTGTGCAGGTATGTGTATGTGTATATATATATATACATGTATGTATGTATCTATGTATATATGTATGTATATATAGATATACACCTATATATATATATATATGTATATACACACATATATATATATATATTAATATATTATGTGTATGTGTATACGCAGGTGCAGGTGCATGGTGTACGTGTAGGTGTATCCGTACGTATATGTCTATGTGTTTGTGTACATAAATGAGTATTATTTGTATGCATATGTATGCTTATCTGCACCCTTCGGTAGGTCGGCAGGCAAGTATAGGTAGATGGGTAGGTAGGTACTACACGTAAAACGCAAGTAAACACAACACACACAAATGCAAACACGAACACTAACACTAACACACATGTACGTATATCGCATATCTAAATAAGTGAACATATCTATTCATCTATCTATCTATCTATCTATCTATGTATATATACATATATGCAATGAATATATACATACCTACCTACCTACCT